CTTTTCATTCTTTTGTCATTTTTTCTAGCTTGGTGTTCCTTTTTCTAAATTGGTTTTTGTAATGTGTTGCCAAGCCACTTAGAACTGCATTTGGTTCTGATACTAGGTTGACTTCTTCCTTATCTTGTGTTATAAATCTGTCTAGAACAATCTTTTTGTATAGTCTGTTTAGTAGGCTGCAGATCATTCGTTCTTGGTCAGTTTTAATTATTTCACATCTTTTGTTTATGTTTTCTTCTATTTGTTTTCTTTGTGCTCATTCCTATTCTTTTCTTCTTGTCTCTTTGATTATTCTTTGCCAACCTTTAATATTATCTATTCAGGCCTCTGACCATTGTCTGTTTAGTTTTGGTAATGTTACTTCTAGCTCTTTCCTTATATTTTTTAGTTTGTTGTTTATCTTGATTCTTTCTTTCTTTTCTATATTTTGTTTTTTCATACTTTTTGCTTTTTTGATTATTTGTTGAAGTTCGATGATATGTTTGCATTGTTTTAACTTTTTCTGGTTTTGTCTTCTGTTCACCTTTGTGTTAAAAATCTTTTCTTCAGAATTTGCTTGTTTGCTGCTTTAATTATGGCCCCTTCTATTGCGTCCCATATCTGATCAAGTCTATCTGTATTATAATATATTTCTGCTTCATTATTCTTTAGTTGTCTCAGTATTTTTTTCCATTCTAGCTGATTTTGTAGCTCTCTTGCATATTCTTCCCAATCTTCTTGTTTTGCTTTATCATATAGGTATATTGTTCTCATTTTGTTTTTACATTTGGTTTCTGCCTCATTGCAGTTTGCAATTACATATTCTACCCATACTTCTGTTGTTATTATTTTGTGATCACTGTCTATTAGGCCTTCTGCCTCTTCTATGTTCACTTTCTGTAAGCCTGCTGCAATTGTTTCTGACAGCCAAATGTAATCTATTCTTGTTGCAGCCTCCTGATTTGTCTATGTATATGCTTCTTTTGCCAGATGCATGCTTCTAAATGAGTTTACAAAGTCTTGTCTTTTAAGCCAGCTAAATATTGGTAGTTTTTTATAACTTGATGTTTGCAGATGCTGTCTATCTAGTATATTATCTACTGTGTAGTTGAAGTCACCTAATATAATTATTTCTGTACTCCTTTTTTTGTTTGTTACTATCTCTACGATTCTTTGCTGGATTTTCTTGCTAATCGATTTGTCATTTGGTGAGATGTATACTCCTAATACTACTAGTTCTAGTTGTTTAAAATATAATCTCACCTATAGCAAGTACTCGCTAATTCTTTTAACTGCTCCTATATGCTTTTCCCACCTTTCATCTATTAATATTCCAATGCCTGACCCGTTTTTCTTGTCTGTTGCTGCACTAGTCCAATAACCTTTATAATGTGTGCTGCATTTGTATAGTAAAAACTTCTCTTCCTTTTCTGTAATGTTTGTTTCTATTATTTCTACTATTGTAAGTTTATCTTCACTTGCCTATTCTATCAGGTTTTCTAATTTTCAACTTCTGGTTTTAAGTCCATTAATGTTGTAACATGCAATTTTGATTTCTTTTCTTCCTTGTTTTTATTTTTCTTTTAGATATTTATGTTGTATTTCTATATCTACTTCCTTTTCCTTTCCTTTTTTCTTTGTTTCTTTTTTGTGACCAGAAGGTGTTTCCATATCATTCCTTTCAAAATTTCTTCTTTCTATATACAGAAACTCTTCAATCTCCTGGTCTATATTCATTGGTTCAACAAGGGCACCCTTAGGAGCGATCAGCCAGGGTTCCCCCTGTTGTTCCTCTTGTGTCCTCTAATTTTTCAAGTCTTTCTACAAACTGTCTTAGAATGTCATTTGTGTATGATGTTTCTTCTTATGCTTAAAATTTGGTTTCTGCTATTTTTCTTCTGTAAGATCTGTCTTTCTTTTTGAAGGAGTTTATATAACTTGCTTCATTTTCTGTATCTTGACCTGTGTATAGCCTCTGCTTGTTGTTGTCCAATCTTCTACTCTTCGATTTTGTCTTCTTCTTCTTCTGTTTATGCTTGGCCCATGTTCTTGTTCTTCTTCCCTATTGATGTTCTTTTCTGTTTCAGAGGTTTGACTAAACCTTTCCCAGCTTCTTTCTCTTTCTTATTTAAAGCTTTCTCTTCATCTTGTTTCTTCTATTCCTTCTTTTATCCAGTAAAGTCGAAAGTTGTTAAACATGAATGGTTTTGACTAGGCTAATTTCATATCTCTTCTATTGCAAACATAACTGTTGCAGTTCTTCTTTGGTTTCCGTTTCTGTTTGGAGGTATATGGACTAATTTAACCTTTTTGCTTTTCAAGCTTCATAATAGTAGAACTTCTGAGCAGCTTCCTGATATTTCTATCAGTTTTGTTGTATATCTTCTTTGTCTTTTTCTTGCTTCATGGTCCTCTATCCCCTTAGTTACTCATACTAACTTGTTATTGTTTACTGGTATAGACCATGGTATGTCCTCATGTGTTTCTTCTATTTGTACAATAGCTAAGGCCTTATATTTGGATCTTTTAATTCTTATTACATGGGCTTTCCTAAATCTTCTGCAGATGTATTCTACTTCTTTCTTGTTTATATTTATTGGCAAGTCCCAGATTGTTATGTCCTTTGTTTTCTCTAATTCTTCATTTATTCTGTGTTGGATTTTGTTTGTCTTGTTTTCATTCACTTCCTGCTTGGGTTCTTCTTCTCTGGTTCTTGCTTCATTGTTTTTTTTCTTCTGGTATTTCTCATTATATTGTGTTTGTTTTCTTCTACTATCTTTCTCTTTTTCTTCTGATATCATTTTATACCAGTCACTCTCTTTTCTACTGATTCTTTGTATCACTTTACTTCTGCCATATTCGCAGTCAAAGCTTACTTCTATTCATACATTTCACCTTTTGAAAATTTTCCTAACATCTTTAACATGCATGTTGTTTCATAGAGACCATCTGATAAATTTCATACAGTTTTTTTTGTTTCACCTGGTACATTATGCGCTGATATGTTAGCGAGTAAACTGTTGTTTTGGTTGCAGTTTCTCTTGTTTGGAGCCTACATGCTTTTTTCTAAAGATTCTCCAAATATGTCGATTTCTTTTTCAATTTCTCTACTAGTGTCTTCTTGTTCTTGCTTCTTTTCTTGTTCTTTTGCATTTCTCCTTTGAGTAGACAAATTCTCCTTCATTTGGTTTTTGTTTATTAAACTTACCTCTATACTTACTTCTTTTTGTAAGTCGCTGTTGTTTTGTAGTTTTTTCTCTGCTGTTTTTTCACTTTCTGTCTTCTTTTCATACAATACTTTATATGGTTCTTCTTGACTTCTGCTTGCTTCACTTGGCTGTTGCTGTATATCTTTACCTTTGTCCTATGACTGCGCTATTGCTGATTCTTCTATTATAGTATTTTTGTTTTGTTTGTTGATATTAATTTTCTTTTCTGGTTGCTCTTCTTCTGCTTTTTTGATTATCTCTCTAGTTATACATAGCAGAGCAATCTCTATTGGGTCTTGTTCTGTTAGCATAGCAACAATTTCATCTTCTCAGTCTGGTGTTGCAAGTAGTTTGCTTGCTTGGTTAAAAAACACCTTGTTGTGTATGCTGTTTGCTGCCCAGTATACTCTTTTGATATAGATTGTCATTAGACTTTCTTTTCAATTCTGTGTACTACTTATTTTTCTATCTAGCTATTAGTAGTTCCTGTTTGCTACTTGTTGTTCTGAAATCTTCTATGCTTATGTTTATCACTATCCTAATTAGGTTTATTTGCATACTGACTAATCTACATGTTTGTTTTGTTTTTCTGTTCACATGTTGCATTGATCTACAGATCTACGTTTCCAGATTACAGAGAATTTCCCAAATTCTGTTTTTCTTAGTGTCAACCAAGGTGTTTTCTGTTCTATCTTCTTAACAAGTTATCCAAATTTTCTTTTTCTTGCTCTTGTTATACCTTCTTTACTCACTTTATCTTTTCTCTTAAATCTGTAAAGTCAGTTTAGACAGTCATTTGTTGGCAAACTTCTAAATTGTTTTCTTGCAGTTTGTGTATAAATGATCAGCAGAGAGAGTTTTTTTTTGAGGAATTTATAAATAAGGGCCTGGAAAATGAATATAATTACAAATACAGGCCCAAATTAAAAATAATTACACATGAGAGCCTAATTTTTAAAAAATATTACATATAGGGGCCTAAGTTTATTGATGGATGAAAAACGTTATCATGGAACTACTGTGCCACAAAGTACTCTGACCATTTGACTTATAAAAATTGCACAATCGCGATTATAGAATTATTGATTGTTTTATTATAGGCATTTAGAGCTATCTAGATATCAATTATTAGATAAAAAAATAAATAAAATGTTGGCTACAATCATTTTCGCTTAAATATTGTATAAAAAGTAGTGTTAAACTAGCATAATTATTTATAAGACGATGAAGTTTCAACAGAGTAGCTCTCAAGAGCAGAACAATTATCTTCTTCTTAGTAAATGTTATTCCAATTCGCAGTACTTTATTTGATATCATAGTGGTTTGTTATAACAATAACCGATTTTATACAAAGAAAATGAAATTTACAATCGATCATTACATTTTTTATGCACTTAATAATTACATTTACCGATGCTTATATTTCTTATATTAATAACAATCACTTGAATAATGTCGCTGCTATTTTGGGCCCTTATATGTAATATTTTTTAAAAATTAGACCTTTTATTTAATTATTTTAATTTAGGCCGGTATTTGTAATTATTTTCACTTTCCGGGCCCTTATTTGTAAATTCCCCTAAATTCAATATTCGGATATTAAAAAATTAAATAAAAGAATGTCAATCCTACCTTTAAACTAATCTCAAGCACTTTCATTTTATCTTTTAACCCTATTTCATTTTATTTTAAGAAATCTTAAATTTAAATTTTATTAATAATGTTTGACATTGCTATAAACATGATTTATATAAATAATTTATGCAATAAATCTTAAAGATTTAAGCTTCAATAATAAAATATAAAACTTGACTATTTTTTTAATTTAGAAAATATAACCTTTACGTCTTTAGGATATAAAGTAAAAAAAGAACTTTTTAATGGCATTTTTTCCAAATTTTGACTCTCCGGAGGCAAAGACATTTCAAAATTAAGTACTAAAAATAAATGTGAATGTATTATAAACTTATGTTTGAGAATTTATTGCAAAAGAAGGTAATAACTTACGCATCATTGCAATAACAACTATTTGTTCCATCATTGAAAAATTTTGTCCAATGCTATGAAAAAGATGAATTAAATTAGAAATATGCACCTTATAAAGGGTCTAAATTTTATAAAAAAAAATATACATACCAATTTCTATGCCCATTAGAGAATGGAATCCAACTTTTTTTCGTTTCTTGGTTCATAAATTTTTCAGGTACAAAATCATCGCTCCAAAGATCTGAATTTTTATGAATCTGCCAAATATTCAGTGAAATATTCATTCCTTCTGGTATTACGATATTTTGAGTAAGTCTTAAAGGCTTTAAAACTTTACGGAATGGTAGCATTGTTACTGCTGGATAACGACGAAGTGTCTCTTCGATAATTGCTTTTATATATTTTAAGCTCTATTAATTTAAAATATGGCAACATTATTGATTAAATATATTAAAAGTTGCTGATAAAAATATGTTAAAGTCTAAAGCAATACCTTAACATTCTCTGAATTTGGTATTTTAGAGTAATTTCCTAAGACTTGAATTGCTTCTTCTCTTGCTTTTTTTTGAATGTCCTAAGAAGTTTTTTTGCGTGATTAACTGTTTATATATATTTATAAAAATCAAAATTGTAAAAAAAAAAATTACAGGATATCTTGCTAAGTTATAAAAAACAGAGCTCAACGAGGATGCTGTAGCTACAAAAACAGATCAAAAGAAATTTAACAATAACGTTAAATATAACAGAATAAGCTGCTTTATTAATACTCACTATTATGACCAGCAGAAAAAATTGAAGTTAACTCATCTCTAAGGTCCTTTATAGTGTATTCAAAATTTTCATTGCCAATATTTTCCAACATATTAGCCAACAAATCTATATGGTCTTCTTTTGTTTTTTCTTTAGCAAGATCAATTTTTCGTTGTTCAATAACATTATATATAAATTGATCAAATTCTCCAATTAATTGAGAGAGTTCACGATTTACTTTTAACGGAAGCTTATAAGTAAATCTCGATATCATAAGAAGCGGATTTTGAATAAGTTCTACAATTTTTTCATAAGTTGTCAGAAAATATGGTTCCTCTTCCAAACTATTCAATGCCTTATAAAAAAGAAATCAAAAGTAACTTATGAGTTGAGTGATAATTGAAAGGATCATATAAAGCATATATTTGAAATAATTACGAAAGGGAATACATACTTCCATATCATACGAGAAAGCCATTTTTCCTAATGTTTGAACAGTAATGCGTTTCATCAATGTAAATATATCTAACGGAGTATCAGTATGTTTATTTAGCAAAGTTATAAGTTCACTGGTACATTCTCCAATCATCTCGGGTTTAAGAGATTTGTTAAATGCTGGCATTGCCATCTTTCGTTGTCGCATTCGATGCTTAATTTTAAAAACAAATCGTATAAATTTTTTTTTTTTTAAAAAAAAAAATTTTAAAGTGAAACAAAATATATTACTTCTCCGTTCGCAAAAGATATTCCTCTTCCAAAGAACTTTCTTATTGGATGATCCTCGGGTGCCTCTACTTTTGGAAGGACATCATCTAAAATGTAATAAATAATTATTTAAGAAATTTATTATTTTTCAGGCCTATGATAACAACATTAGCATACCGTTCTCAGCGAAAAATGCTTTAGCATATTCAATATTAGTTATCAAAACCGACCATCCCGAGTTAAGGAAAATCTAGAGTCAAAAAAAAACATTAAATTTTGAACGAAAATGATTATAAAGGATGATTCTACTGACTTTTACTAATCCAATTTTCTCTGGATCTGATTCAGAAATAACACGCTGAATTTCATGTTGTTCTTTATAGAACCATACAGCAAAGAAAAATTTAAGTATGGGTACAGTTGGAATAAATTCTAATTCTTTAGGAGGTCTACAGGCTCTATAGATAAGACAGTACCAAAGAATGAAAACCACAATAGGGATCAAATAAATGTAAAAACTCATTTTGTAAAAATCAAAAATTCCCTTATTACCGTTATCCTCTGTCACCCTTATTATAAGAATCTTAAGACGATGATCGATCGTAAAAAAGTGCACAGAAGCATCCTTTAAAGGAAAAAAGACCGACCATAATTACATATCATTGAACCAGTGATAGTACTGTAACATTTTTCAGCGATCAAAATTTTTCTCACAATCCACTGATTTATGTGCAAGTTAGTATTTGTATATAACGATAAAGCTTGAAAGGTATCAGTACATGACATACTTTGCATTACCACCAAAATGTTTTTCATTCATTTTTTTTTTATTTTAGTTTTAGTCAATTTCCATATTTCGTTTAAGAATGGAATGATATTGTACAAATTTGAATTGGTGTAGATAGAAACCATGTTACAACCTGAGAACCTAATAATATCAATTTAACTTTATTCGTTTAAAGAATATTCAGATGTGCAGAAATAGGGGTAACTAATAGGACGTGAGAAAACTTTATGAGACTTTTATTCTGTTTACAGCATAGAATTTAGAATGCAACTTTGAACATTGTAGAATCGAATCAGCAATTTATACGGATTAGCAATTGCGTTCCATTTAAGGAATGTATTTAGCAAATGAGATTTGGAGAATTTAGTGATAAAATAATTGTTTTAATTTTCATCAAAAATTCTGGACTTTGAACCGCCACCCAGATAAACGACATCCAAAAATATGTGATGAATAGTATCAAATTGGTTCGACAATAACAAGACATTAAATATTATTCATCGCGTTTGGAATAGTTGGGCAACATCGCTCCGGAAACGGTGATTTCTTAGGCTATGCAATGGACTAGTAAAACCCTTATTGAAGGCTACAGTAAATGCCAAACGGGATTTCTCATGCCATAACCATACCGATACTAATTTTAGCATATGGATCGAATTTCCGGGTATCCGATAGATTATATATTTGGTCTTTGATTTTCCTAGTAAAGATCTCAAATCCGGATTGCATGTTAAAAATAAAATGGCTAGGACTTTGACAACGTATATTAAAAAAATAAATGGTTAGGGCTATTACAACGACAGACAATAATAAAATCACCTTAAGAATTTTTTTTATCATGATTACTACGTAGCACATATTCATAGTAATTGTCAATACTTAGTGATAAAAAAAAAAACCCTTAAAATTAATTGTTACCATAATTATGGGTTTACCTACCAGAGTATCATAAAATTGATTAATAACGAATTACTCCCGACATGTTGTTACGAAAAATGTAATAAATTAAATAGTACGTATAAATCATTTTGTAATTAGGCATAGTTACTTTATTAAAATTGACATAATAGCTAATTTGAGCCTAATTAAGAGGCTATATAAGAAAACTCATACAGGGGGATCCCCAAAATTCAGGGTCGGAATACTTCGGAATCATGATCGGCAGGGCCGGAATT